AACTGAAAAAAAAAAAAAAGAACTCTGTTTTCCCCTGTCTCACCTGCTTGGCTTTGTTTCTGCCTCCACATCCTGTCTTAATAGTCCTTAATTACATATCTCACATCCTGAAGTTCAGTGCCGCTCACCCCTCCAGGCCTCTGGGTGCCAATCTGGGAGCTGTGTGGTCCCAAGCGTTCAGGCTGTGGGTTATCATCTACTCTGACAAAGCCAGCAGCAGACAGCAGCAGCTTCTTCCCACGGAGGCAGGGGGCTCTCAGGTCAGCAGTTCTGCAAGTGGGAGAAAGAAGCCCAGAGACGCTGGGATCACTGCTCTTCTTCACCTCCCCAGTGTCCACACCCCACTCTCACAGGTGGCCAAGAAGAGCGAGTTTGGATCTAGAGCAGGTACTCTTGGGTTGGCATGCAGGGGGTCCACCCTCTGACGCCCGCTGAGGTCTTGTTGGGACCATCAGAGGGCTAGAAGCAGTGCCTAACGTGGAAGCTATGGATATCAGAGACCCGAATCTCTCTGCAGGGAACCCGCAAATGAACAAGTGCTTTGAATTAATTAGGGCGAAACATCAATTAGCAAGCCTGTTGGGCTCTTGGGATGGGAATGATGTTGATGTAGGATTCGGAGCAGCTTTACCAAAGGAAAACAGTCAAAGCAATGCAGAGTCTCAGAGCACAGCTCTGATGTCCACAGTTCAGCACAACTGAGCTCCTTCCCAATCTTCTTCAATCTCTGCCCTGTCCCTAACCCAGCATCCACGGGGCCAGCATCCCTCATGCTCCCAGCCTCAGGAATTCTGTCCAGCTGTCCTCGCTGCTGTAAAGAGTCCTTCTGACCCTGCCTGCCACAGCCTCTCCACACCCAAAGCTCACAGTCATTCATGCTTTCGGGTTTTGCTTAAAGAAAACTTGCTCTGAGAAACCTTCTCAGATATCATTCTTGTCTCTCAGAAGTCATTCCTGAGATGCAGATGAAAACAACACTGAGATTCCACCTCACCCCAGAAAGAATGGCTGCTATCAAGAAATCATCCAATCACAAATGCTGGCGGGGCTGTGGGGAGAAAGGAACCCTTCTCCACTGCTGGTGGGAGTGCAGACTGGTGCAAGCACTGTGGAAATCAGTATGGAGATACTTCAAAGAACTAGGGCTGGAGGTCCCATTTGACCCAGCTATTCCCCTCCTGGATATCTTCCCCAAAGAATTAAAGGAATCATACCACAGTGATACATGTGCACCCATGTTTATAGCGGCTCAGTTTGCAATAGCTAAAGCTTGGAAACAGCCCAAGTGCCCATCAACTGGAGACTGGATAAAGAAGATGTGTGTGTGTGTGTGTGTGTGTGTGTGTGTGTGTGTGTGTTTTAGTAAAATAGAGTACTGCTCAGCCATAAAGAATGAGAAACTAAAAAAGAAAAAAAAGAATGAGAAACTAGAGTCATTTATAGCTAAATGGATGCACACTGAGGCCACACACTTAAGTGAAATATATAGGACACACAAATGTAAATACCGAATACTTCCCTGGTGTGAGAAACTGAGAGTATAAATAAGGATCAAAAGGTATAACAGATAATGTGAAATAGGAAGAAAAAGTCTAAAGGGGAAGGGGAAGTGGGAGGGATTGTGGGAAGGAAAGGAGGGATAGGAACAAATATGAGAAAAGGAAAAAATGGAAGCAAAGTCTTTGTAAATACAGAGGGGTGAAGGAGGTGAAGGGAGAGCAGGGGAAGGGGGAAAAAATAAGAACCAAGATAGAGTATGTAGAGGTCCAGATTCCCAATGATGAATGTCAGCATACTGTATACCTACAATGTACCGATAAAATTAACAACAACAAGAGAAGAAGTTACCTGATCCCTCTTCTCTCAGCCAAATGCCAACGGGGAATGTAGCTCTGAGCTTCTCCGGGGAAGTAACTCTTGGCGCTATCTCTCCTAGGCCCACGGAGCACCTCGTTCTTCTCAGAGCGCCGGTCACAGCTGGGGAGGTGTGGCCACCCCGCTGCGGGGCTCGGTCCTCTGTTACAGCAGGGCTTCTTAACTTTCTCTGCACTGCGGATTTCTTTGGTACACCAATGAAAATTAAGGACTTTATTCAGAATAGTGTTTCTAAATGCATAAGATAATTATAAGAGAAACCAATAATAAAACTCCGCTGTAGATATAGAAATGACAAGTGGTTTTAAAAATAAATGGGAACATGAATGTGCCTATTAATTGACATGAGCCAGCAGCTTTCCTGACTGATCTCCAGTGTAAATGACGTAGTGAGAAACCGGAAGCAAAGCACTGCAGTGGGACCCCAAGGCCCGTCAGTGACAAGGTCATCTGTACTGCCTACATCTGCATTTGTTACCTATGTTCACAAGCGAAGAAAACACGTTAGACAGGAGGTTCGTGAAAAGAAAAGATGTCGTTTCCTCCCCTTTCCCTTCTCCTGGGTTAAGAACTCCGGCAAGAGAGGCTCTGTCCCCTTACAGTGCTCTGAGTGCCTGTGGAGAGTCCAAAGAGACCAAATCTTTACCACCGTGGTTCCCCTTGGTCAGTCCAGCTCAGTGTCTGCACCTGGGAGGGTCTCCAGGCTTATGCCAAAGCAAAAGTAGAATGAGTAAATCCCTATTCTAGGCGAGGAGACTGTGAATTCAAGACTTGTCTGGATTTTTCCTCCGGGCTCCGTGCCCAGGGTATTAGGAGCTTCCTGGTGGCTCTCACTCTGTGGGCAGTGAGGAGCAGAGTGGTGGCAGGAGGAGTGAACCACACCACTGGGGACTCACTGTGTCAGGGGATTTTCAGTAGCAAGGATGGCAGCCAGTGGAGCTGGTCCACTAGAGCATGATAGAAAAATGAAGGAAAGAGAAATGACATCATCCCACTGACAGCTCTGAAGACAGGGAACTGAAAGTGTGCACTTCCTGTACAGGCAGCTGCTCACTCATCCTCACCCTGCCTGACCCCCAGGGAAAATTCCTAGCAAAATTCCTAGCGCTGCCAGCCTGGAGGGGTAAAGTCTTCTACCTGCCTGCCCACTCCGGGAACTGAGTCACTCCCTGGAGCAGATCCCCAAGCCAGTGGATTTTCCTGCAGTGGTGCAACTGGGCAGGAAGTTGGATGTCAGCCACTGTGACTGCATAGACAGGGGAAACCCTGTACTGCAAACTCAGGACTTGCCTTGGGAAAGGGGCATGCTGGATTTTCTTCTTGGTGTCTAGAAATATTGTTTCCTGTTCCCAAATGGCTTGCTTAGGATGCTGAGTGGGTTTGCTAAGCAGGGATTTTCCTTCTCTTCCCTCTGTCCAGCACATTTTCAGGATGACCCTTGCACTGGGTAAATGCAGAGCCAGTTTTGAAATCCCACTTTCTCAAGTTGGCTTGATGTGTACATGCAAGAACCTCTGACTTCTCGGCCACCATGGCCTCCCCAGTCTGTGCTGATTGAGAACCAGCTATGTGCCCAGCCCTTGCTGGCCATCCACAGGCTTCACCACATCTCTCCCCAACTCTGAGTCCCTTCAATGGCTCCCTATTGCCTTAGGGGTGAGACAAAGAATCAGAAAATCAAGGAGGCCCAGTTGAAAGGGATTTAAGACTTTGTTGAATATATTCTCCCACAATTTACAGATGAGGAAGGGCAGTGAATTTCTCAAGACTACTCAATGAGGCTGAGGTAAGACTAGAGCTAGAACTTGGATCTCTAGGCTCCTAGTTTGAATTTGTATTCCTTGCCATGATACTCTTGGTCATTGATATTGTCATATTTCTAAACTCATCTCTTCCTGCTTGTCTACACAAAACTCAGCTCCGGCCCAGCAAATCCACCTGTTAGTCCCCAGGGACACAGAGGGCTTTGCATCATCTCCATCTTGAATGCCCTTTGTCCTCCAAGTCCTCCTCCCCACCCTTCAGTTCTCCTAGTCTCTCAAGGCTCAGCTGATAGCTTTCTCCTTTGTGTTGCCTGGCACTTCCTTTCTGTATATTTGCAGCACCGACTTTCTTGGAGGTTCTCTAGTCCATCTCTGCCCCCCACCACACCAACAAAGCTGAAGCCAACGTGGAGCCAGAGACCCGATGGGGCACCTCACAGTCCTCATAGCATTCATTACAGTGTCTTGCACATAGCAGGCATTTCGTAAATGTTTACTGCAAGAATGTCACTTAAATCTACTCCATAAGACACAAGAAGCAATAAAAATCACCTTACGTACTTGAAGTCTTGTATAAATATTCTTCTGGCCGACTCAGCGAGTCAGACAGTTATCACCATTGTTTGAAGAAACACCAAAGGCCTGGAGGGCAAAAGGCTGAGTTTAAATCCCTGGAGATCACACTGAAAGTCGGTGGGAAAGTGGGTATCGGAATCGGGTCTCCTGGCTCTCCGTTCCGCATGAGCAGTGGTGCTAATACCTTCTACATGCTTTCAGCTCAAGACTCATTTCTTCTGCCAGAATTGGGATGTAGGAAAAGCTTCTTTCCTAGCCTCATTTTTACAGGAAGCTATTTACTATAGAAAAAGGATTCATGATGGGTTAAAAGTGTCACTTTTAACCCTCAGTGAGCTCAACTTCTGTCTGCCTCTTACCAGCCAAGTGTCCCTGCAGCAAGTTACTTAACCTCTTTTCCCCACTTTTAAAACAAGGATTTGGACTAGATGTACTGAAAACCACTTCCAGCTCTAATGACTCAGGAGGGATAGTTTCATTAGATAGGGGCATTCTTGGCACTGGCATACAAATCCTTAATCTGGAAGGTTCCTGAACCTTCCAGACCTTACTAGAGAAGACACTGTACTGTGGAAGGGAGCTCTGGGTTTGCTGTGAGTTAAATCATGGAGCTTTAGGACACAGTACAAAGAATAAACAAGAGTAAATCATATATCCATTCAATGGTCACTGAATACTAACTGAGCTAGATGAACAAGGAGCTCTCAGGGTAGCAGGAGAAATGTAAGGAAAAGCTATCCTCGACTGTGATAAGCAAAAAATGTTTACAGGAGGTAAAGGTAAGGGGCAAGGAGGTAAGGATCAATTATGCCTTAGGAAATGGGAGTAGGGGGAGAGTTTAAAGTGAGGTAGGAAAGCTCTATAAAGGAAATAATTGAATTTATATAGAGTGTGATCTGGGACTTAGCCAAAGAAATTCAAAATGATATAGTACTTTGATATATGAAAAAGTGACACTTGGTTATAGTATTTTGCACGGAACACTAAGATTAACTGACAATTTCAGGTAGCTTAAAACAAAGCGGTTGGATTTTTCTTGGTTAATAGAATTGATTGGCATGAGCACAGCTTAGACAGGCCTAGATTATTTGAGAATCTTGATTTCAAGTGCTCTTTTCAGACCACATTTCTCAATTTTACTTTACTCACACGTGGGGGTGACCATGAGAAATTGTTTACTTGCCACTAATGGTGGGAAAGCAGGCAGGAGCTTAAATAAAGAAATACTTAGATTAGATATCCACATATATTTTCCATATTTATCAAGCATGACAGTGAAGAATAATGATCTTCTTTTCCAGGGAATTATAGGAAGACACTGGTAAGTATTACAAAGATCATTGTTAAAAAAAACCCTCTTGTGGTCTGCGGGTTTAGCTCAGTCACATGGCATCACACGGCACCTGCCTGGCAAGTGCAAGGTCCTGGGTTCGATCCCCAGTATAGCAAAAAAACCCCCCAAAACAAAAAAACAAAAACAAAGAACAAACCCAAAAATCAAAACCCGCAAAAAACCCAAAACCCAAAACAAAGAGCATTGTGATCCAACAGGTAGAAAAAGCAAAGAATTATTGAATGTCAGAACTGGAAAAAAATTGTGCATTACCTTTTCTGTTGCTTTTATTTTACAGAGTAATAAAGTGAAATCCAGAATGGCAAGATGATATGCCAAAGTCATCAGGTTAACTGTGAAATTTCTGGATTTAAATAATAGATCCCAAAGTTTTAGATACTGAGTAGGAAAAAAGTAAAAAAAAGAAACACATTATAGCCTCTAGCATCTTGATCTTTTTCAAAGTATTTTGAGGAATTCATTTCAGATGCTTTGAGTTTAACTTGGCCTGGAAGTGTGATTCTGGATGATGTATTAGTTCCTAAGAGAATCCTCCAGCTCACTGGGGAGAAAAGATTAAGGCCAGTGAAACACAAGGCAATGCTGGAAGCTCTCCTGTGCCAGAGGAAAACCTGGTATTGGAAGTCAGAGCAGGGAAGGGTTGATACAGGCTAGTCTAGTTCAGGAGTAAAGGACTGGGGTCTTCTTCAGTGATGACTGGTGGAGAGAAGAGAGCTCATGTTGGAAAGCAATGGTGGGAATAGCAAAGGAGAAACAGCAGGAATGAACTCTCGGTGTCTGGAGTTGGGGAGAAACTTGGTTAAGGGGAACTGGATTAAGGAGAACTTGGTTAAGGAGAATGTGAAGGTGCTCCCTGAAATTCACTTCCAGTTCTGTAATTCATATGTTCTCTGTCCTTACTACCATTTTACCAAGCAGGAAGGTGGAACCAGAAAGAGGTACATCCTTTACACATATTTACAGCCAGTAATTCCTTGAGGCAATGCTTCTTGGAGGAGGAAGGAATTGGTGTAGCCAGGTTTGCCAGTAAGCTGCCTGAGGACTTTAGGAAGGGTGATGCCATCCGCCATCCATGAAATTAATTCCAAGGAAGTCCCAGTGCTCACTTGCACAAGCTCACTTCCTTCATGTGATATATAGACTCGAGTTAGCTTGAGACAGATTCCCAGGAGACCAGAGCAGTGACCTTCCAGAGCTTTCTATGTGGTTCCAGGGATCAGCCTAGGCCTCCCAGTTATTTATCCAGGTATGTTGAAGGCCATGCCCAAAGGGGTATTTTCACTAGGATGAAATCTCTTAGAGGACAAGGAATTGTCACGTCCACCTTTGTTCTTCATTACCTAGCACAATACTCAGGATATCAGTGCTCAGTGAATGCTGATTGAATTGTTGAGTTTATGGTAGATTTACTGTATATCTACTAAGTTCAAGGCAAGTAACATAAATCTCTACTTAAAATGAATGATCATTCACTGTATGCTAGCTGCATAAAGCACAGATTATTTTATTATGTTAAGATAAGCTCCTGGGATAAGTTTAATTACTACCATTTTTGGGTTAAGAGAACGAAATTCTAAGGGATGAGTTGACTTGTTCAAGGTCACAGATGTAGAATGGCCAACTCATTCTGGTGTTCCTGTCACTTCCCATTTTTAAAACTCCTGTGTCTTGGGCATTCCTCTTGAACCTGGGCAAACTGACCACCTATAAAGGGAACTTGTGGAGCAGGGATTCATTACACAGTTCTAATTGTTTCCTACATTTGGCAGTATCTCGGGCAGTTGTGAATGCCAGAACGTGTCTAGCATATTGCCTAGCACATAGGAAAGATTCATGAAGTGGTAATGATTATCACCCAAAACTAACCTCATGCAGAGCAAACTCACCCCAAGAACACACGGGCCCCTCGCTCCCTTCCTTGGGACCATTCATTCACCGGCCTCTAGCCAGAGAGGCAGGGCCAGGAAAGGGTGTTCTGGCATCCATCCTAGGTGCGCCTGGCTGCAGGTCTCCTGCAGGGGGCACTGCAGAGCCCACACTTCTCTGGAGGGAGGAAGCTTGTGGAGAAGCCAGCCAATTACCTATCAGGTTTTGCCTTACTCTAGCAATGGGATTGTTACGAAATCATTGACTTTCTATTTGCCTTTGGGGCTGCAATGAACCTATTATTTTCAAAGAACTACTCTAATCTCAGACAAGTGCCAAAGAGAGCTAAGCTCATCTGCCCTGCGGTGGTCGTAAAATTCAGACAGTTCTCCCTCACGTGTTTTTGGTGGCACAGTCCCGGCTTCTGTGAGATGCTGTGTTTTTCCCATTCCCCTGCGGGTCTAGGGGAGCAGAAGAGAGAGCCACACTGGCATTCAGGAAGGGAAGGCTATCTACGTCAATTTTCCAAAACAAGTTTTGACATTTCCCCTAAAATGTCATCCTCTGTCTATTCACCTCAGCTACCTGCTGCTCCAGGCCGTGCCTGCTCCGCAGTGACGGTGCAGCCAGGAGAGGGACATTATAAAGGAGCGAGACCCGGGCTACCGACCTGGACTCAGCCCGCACAGACGTCTGAGGGTTTCTCTGTGCAGGAGTTTCTGGCAGTTTATTAGTGAGTTGTGTGAAAGGGCTGCACTGTTTGGAGCCAGATGAGGCTCTTTTGTTTGTCCCCAGTGGCTGGATTGGTTTCCTAAAGATGATGTATGGAATCAGTAAGTCATGTTCTTTCCTTTGGTTCTTTCCCAGCTCCTGTGGTCTCCTGATTCCCGGAGAAAGATGAAAACCTCTGGTCTTGCCTTCGGCCTTCTCTCTGCCACATTTTATCTCCTCTGGACTCCTTCATCTGGGCTCAAGATTCTCCATTTGGGAAGCTGTGTGATTGTCACAAACCTCCAGGAAATACAAAGTGAATTTTCTGAGATCCGGGACAGTGTGGTACGTGAGGGAAACACCTTCCTCTTCTCCCCTTCTTGTCTGTCTCTCCTTCCCAGGCATCCCTGACAGTGTGATTATGCAAAAAGGCAGGCTGGGGACTCCTTGCCATGATGATGCATTCCGGGGAAATATCTATAGCTCATCATTTAAAAGTGCTTCGGAAAGGGATGCCTCCCACCAGGCCTAGCAGGGAGGGGACGAGAGGTCTTGATGTCCCATACCATGGCAGCAGGCACTGACCTGCCCCTCTTTGCCTTTCCTCCTTCTGTTTAGCAAGCCAGTGACAAAAACATTGACTTCAGAATCTTAAGGAACACCGGATCTTTGCAAGACACAGAGGTATGTGCTTGGCCCCCTGTGAGCTCCGGGAGGAAGCATGAAGGCCGGCATCTCTGTCACCTGGGCCTTGTCCTGCCTCCTCCCAGCAACACTGATCTTCTTTGTAGCCTTCAGACCGGTGTTGCCTCCTCCGCCACTTACTGAGACTCTACCTGGACAGAGTATTCAAAAACTACCAGACCTCTGATTACCACACACTCCGGAAGCTCAGCAGTCTGGCGAATTCCTTTCTTACTATGAAAAAGGACCTCCAGCTCTGTGTGAGTGAAGGTCTTGGGTAACAACATCCATCTTAGCACATAGCTTCAATGACTTAGCAACCCAGCTTTCTTTCCCAGCCCTTATAGTGAAGGATGGAGAAACTGAGTCCAAGAGTCTAATAATCTGTGTTTAGTCACGTGATAAGGTACAGTGGTACCTCAGTTCATGAACTTAATTTGTTCCACGATTCTGGTTGCAACCAGTTGCAAGACTTTTGAGTATATGCTGTTTGCAAAAAGTACTTTGCACAGTTTAAAGAACTATAAATGTTAACAATTTAGGTAGGTATTTAATGTTCATGATAATTATCTGTTATTCATGAAATCCCCCTTTGCTCTAGGTGAGGTGTCCTACAGTGTACTAGTTAGTGTATCTTGTGTTCAGGCAGCCAATCACAGGCCACTGGGCTTGGTCTCAGAATACAGGCTGAACAGGGTCTGGGAATCTAATTCTGTCTTCCCAAGGGCTCAGAATTGCTCTGGGATGGACAAGGTAAGAGGTGGGCTGGGCACGCCAGGTGGGGCACAGGGGTTACAAACTCCTTCAGCATTGCCTCTTTCTAAAAAGCTGTGATCAGCTCTGTAGTTGAGGCTGAAAAGCTAGTTTCCTTTTCTAGCTAATGATTAATTTAATAATTCTAAATAAGGTTGGAAAGGATTTTTCTACAGGAATGAGCATTCATAGGATTGTGGGTGAAACAGAATTCTCACTTGCTCATGTCTCTGGGAAGGACAGAAAACCCAAATGTTAAATAAATTCTATCATTCTTTGGGTCCTTTTCAGCATGCCTACATGACGTGCCATTGCGGGGAGGAAGCAACGGAGAAATACAGGCAGATTCTGAGTCACTTTGAACAGGTATAACCTTTTTGGCATTGATGGGGATGGGTGTGGTTTTAGACCTGAGATCACAGATGAGTGGGATGGATGCTGGTGCTGGGAGATACCCTGTGGCCCTCAGTTTAACCTAGGGGGTGGAAGAGTGCGCTCTGCCCAACGCTGCAAGGATGGGAAGGGAACAGGCTTGCCACAAGTCCACCAAGTCACGCCAGAGACAACTGTGTCTTCCCGCGGCACAAATGACAGGCGATCACTTTTTCTTCATTCACAAATTTATGCATTCCTTCAAAAGCATGCATCCAACGCCCGTGGCATGCTGCTGCTCACCTCAGCACTCTGGCACCTTCCAGGAAGCTGAGTTCGCTCCTCATTGACTCCTCCTTCTCTAAGACTCAGCCTCAGTCTCAGCGCCCTCTCTAGCAAGGTCCTGGCTGCTGCTTTCAGAGTTGGGTGCCTGTCCTGCCATCCTGTGGGGACTCCATCCTTTCCTCGATGCCCCGAATTTCAGCTGGGTGCTTCTTCTGCCTGCCACCCTTGCCCATCTGGGAATTTCCCAAGTACCAGGGGATAAACCTGAGAGCAAATGTGTCTTGACGGTTTCCTAAGCACATGCATATGTATCTCTTTCAGCTGGAGCCTCAGGCAGCAGCAGTGAAGGTTTTGGGGGAACTAGACATTCTTCTGCGATGGATGGATGAGGCAGAATAGAGGGAAAGCCAGGCTGCTGAGAAGACTCCCGAGCAAGAGTCCCAGTCCTCAGTATCCTAGGAACGTGACTGAAACCACCACCTCTGCACCATGAATTAATTCAGTGCTGGTCACAGTGTATATTATTTATTCTTTCTTTCCTTACCTAGTTGTCTTTAAGGGCCCCCGATCTCAATTTAGACCATATCTTTATAAGATTTTTTAGAACATCTGACATTGGATATATTTATTAATTGAGATATTTATTTATTTTTGCTGTTGAACTTATTTATTTTTATACTTGAACAAGAGACTATTAAAAAACCCTCACAGATTATATTTATAACCTGACCAGAAGAGGTGATGCGTTTTTATACAGTAAACAAATTCTAGAAGAGCGGCTAGTCATTTTTATTAAATTAGAGGCAGACATACCTGTCACCAAGGCTCTGTGAGATATTTAAAATTAAACTAATGACTACTTATTGTGAGTTATGGATGAAGATGTTCTCATAGGAATTTACAGACCTTTCTTGGAATTATCGAGTTCCCCAACCCAGCGCCCAAGCGATATAGCCAACATGCATTTATACAAATAAAGTTTCCTTTGCACAATATCTGCTTGGAGTTTGCAAATGCTTCCAGAGAGTAATGATGTTGAGGCTGAGACCGAACCCTCTTGTTCTCTGGGAAGCCTCGGGTGGGAGCTGGGGCCTTCTCTCTCCTGTTGGCTCGTGGGCAGCTCTACCCCGAACCACTCGCCGCTCTGACTCCACAGCTGCCCTCAGTGTGCAGGGACTAGGGCTGAGGGAGGGGCTCCGGCCATTCCTGCTTTTGTCTCCTTGGCTGGGAGCTGGGCTCTCTCAGCAGTGCATGTTTCTTCTCACCCTGGTTCCCACCCTCTTGCATCAGGAGTCTGGACTGTAACCTCTATTCTAAGGCTTAAGAACACACCAGTGTACGGTGCGCTTCCCCCTGTTGTCCCCCTCTTTTGATCCCCTCCCATTGTGGATTCTGTCCAGTTCCAGAGGCTAAGTTACTGCCGGATCAAGCCTCCGTCTTCATGTTCAACTATTACGTCAATGCATCTTACCTAGGCCTTCTTCACGTTGGCTTCCCTGGACTTCCAGGAGCCGGAAGTTCTGACCTGGCCTGGGTTGCTTCTTGGTTCCCGGCATTTCTGTTGTCTTTAATATCTGCTCCCTCTCTTTAACCTTGGCCCCAATATGCTTTCAGTGACTTCACTGGGTTTTCCCCCTCAATACACAACTTGTCTTTTCAACAGAAATAATTGAGAAATACTGAGAAATATAAAGAAGAACATTAGAATTACCCATAACCTCACGACTCATAAATAACTACTTTTAAACATCTGTGTATATTTTTCCAGACCTTTTCTGTTGGGTTGAAATCACGACTCAGTTCTTATTGGCAAAGCAAGTTAGGGTTTAAAAGCTGAAGTTCTTAGAATTTAGCTTCTTCTTCAGGAAAGTAGAATGATGCTAATGTCTACTTTTCAGGTGATGGGTTTTTTTAAAAAGCATTTTTTCTTCCTCTGTTCCTAACCCCTTTATTATCATCCATTTTCTATTGGATTTTCACCCCTTACCAACCACCCCTCTTCTACCGGATTTTCAGTTGCCTGCCTCCTGGTTCTGATCTGACTATCAGACGTATAATTCAGCTGTGACTCTCCAGGAATAAGAGTTGAGAAGCCAACTGCATTGAGCTCAGTGTTAAGACTCAGAACCATCACCTCCCAGAGGGGTTAGGTGGCAGGGAGGACGCTGGTTTACCTGACAAGGGTGTGAGTCCTCCAGAAGGGCACAGGCGAAGTTCACTCCGGGAGCTGAAGGCGAAGCTTCTCCTGTTGTTTCCTCAAGAGCACTTTGCCTCTTCTGCAGTCTGGACCTTGGGGACTCTCGATCCCTGGGGGCTCCCTGTTGACATTGGTTTGTCACCTGTCTACTCCTCTCCTCTGCAGGACTCATCTCCTCCAAATCACGTGTCTCTTCTCTGCCTGACTTATCTAGTAATAATGGTGGGAAATTCAACAACAGACAGGTAAACCAGATTGGGGGTTAAGTGAAAACTTCCGACCACAGTTCGGTCACCTGTCCCTGTCTTCAGCCTCACTCTGCAGTTTCAGACTGTATGAGTCAGACTGCCCAGTCTCAAAATAATAAGTGAAAAATTCCAGAAATAATTCATAATTTTCAAATAACTTTTACTACCATATACAGTTAAAATTTGTTCTATGTTATCATTGGTTATTGTTAATCTCTTACTGTGTCTGATTTGTACATTAAGCTGTATCATGAGTATGTATATACAGGAAAAAATACAGCCCACAGTCTGCCCTCTGCGTGTGGGTGGTCTGCATCCACACATCCCATGGTGTGGATCCAAAAAATTGGGGGAAACAGTGAATCTGTACTGAACATGTACAGACTTTTTATTTCATCCTTCCCTAAACAGTACAGTATCACAACTATTTATGGAGCAATCACATTGTGTTAGGTATTGTACGAGATGATTTAAAGTACATGGCTGTGTATAGGTTATATGCTAACACTGAGCCATTTTACACAAGGGACTTGAGCAGCCATGGATTTTGGAAACCTCATGGGGGAAAGGGACCCTGAAACTAACCCTCCAAAGATACTGAGGGATGCTGCATACAAACCATAGTTCAGCGCTACGCTGAAGTTTCACCCATCTATGGAGAGTTTGGAAAATGTCCTTGAAGGCTAAGGAGGGCGGGTACTGTATATGTGCTGTCAAAGTAAGCATGAGGGGGCCACTGTAAAAGCAGTTGTCATTTATCAATTACTTATCATGTGGCAGGAACGGTAATGAGAGTTTCATATACATTATGTTATCTAAGCTTTAAAACAGCCCTGTGAGGTTAGTAATATTATTACTTGATAAGGTGATAATGTGCCCAGAATGGTAAGTAATTTTTTAAAAAATTTATATTAAATGTTTTATTTAAAGGCTGAAAATGTGAAAAAAGAAGAACACAACACAGATTACATTATGATGACCAAGGCAGTGTTCTACATGACAGAAATCAAAACAAAACAAATTTATACAGTAAATATACCAGCGCTGAACACAGTACTTGAAATTTAACCCAAGCTACATATGCCTAAAATGATCTGACTACAGGATTATGCAAAATAAACTTTTTTAGAACATCAGAATGTCAACCATTCTGACTATAAACTGACTTGTTCCCCTAAAGAGTATTTTGAGACAATTTCTACATGACATGAAAAGAACAGACATAACACTTAAATACTACTTAAATAAGTACTTAAATAAATACTTAAATAAGTACTACTTAAATAAGTGTTTTCAACTTTCAAATAGTTGAAAACATATTTGTAATGCAGTTCTCTATAAAATACACAGTTAATCTTATTACTTAAAAAACTAAAAAGCAAAAGACCACCATGAATAATGGTGAAGACCTCATCAAAGAAAAATGCTCATCATTTGGATATCATTGGCAGAAAACTGATAAGATTTTGTTGAGGGGAGCAAGGAAGGTATCTAATGAAGTCATTCATGTAAAATTTGTTCAAAAATGTTCATAAAGTTGTAAATTTCTGCTTGTAACTTCTTAAAATATTATATCATGGACACACTTTCTACTATTTAACTGGAGGACAAAAGAATATCTTGAGAAAAGCGTTTCTCAAAATGAGGTTCAAAAGCCCCCAAAAATTCTAATGTGGGCTCAGTAATAAACATGTTAAACAAACACCCTGTGTGATTATTCTATATTCTGAATGCCCTATGGAAAAGAGCAACACTTAAAAGGAAGATCATAAACATATTTCTGACATGTTAGAATTCTCTATAAGTTTATGTTGTGAATACTGCTTTTTGTTTTAAAACAAGTGCCAGGCATTAAGAGAAACATACGTGCCTCTGAAATGAACATGTGAATGTCTATAAACATTTTCCTTTGATGTTTTCATTAGTTTCAAACTAAATTAAATGAAGAAAAGACAATACATGACTACAAGGTTTGGAAAAGTAATATTTCTCATGAAATGGGGCAACCGAAAAAGATTAAAAGATAATTATCAAATGTTTACAAATTTCAAACTGTTCTAAATTTAAAACTAGATCATTAACTAAAATTAAATTAAACTAAGATTGTACCATTATAACTTCTTTACATTTATATGATGATGGTTACCTTTCAAATCCTTGGCATAAAAATGATACTAAAACAGAAGGATGATATATAGCATCCTAATTTTACTTAACGATCTAGTTTTAAATTTAGAATGATTTAAAATTTGTAAACATTTAAGAAATCATCTCCTAACCATTTTCAGATGCCCCATTTCATGAAAACTTACCTTTCCAAAGCTTGCAGTCATACATTGTATTTTCTTCATATAAAAAAGATACAAGTATATGTGTTTTTATTCAAAACTGTTGCTATTTTTTGGATTTTCCTGAAAACTACATAAACTGAGCCCAAAAGGTACAGGTAATGTGGTTGGAGAGAAACTAGCATAGTAAGGTATTTTACTGAAAAGACAAATTGTTTTCTTGTATCATAAGTAAAAAGAAAAAATATGAGGCATTATGTCTAACTCAACAAATGGAATGCATATACAAATGCGGTTAACAAGTGATTGCCTCATTGTTATTTAAATTAGTTCATAAAAATCTAATCTATGAACAAAAAATTCCATATTCTCTACTATAGACTGTAAGAATGAAGTATTACATGTAAAAATAACTTCAAAACAATAAATTAAAATTAGCTTCCATACAATTCTGAAATGGTTAATTCTATCCAGGCTGGTAATGAGTTTTTCCAAGCATTAAATGGCAACATAAGCAAAATGCATAGTTGAAAAATGAGGATCAGACCCATTCTTCATACATCATAAGATGATGGATATAGTAAAAAACCTGCAAATGGATAGCCATCAAGCTCCTGCACGATGTCATTATCATCTGTGGTGAGCCAGACAGGTTCATTAGTAAATTCAGGATCGAAGTTGTCCAAACCGAATCCCTCACAGATATTTGGTTTGAAGGGAGGCACCAACTGCTTTTGCTCCATCATGTCCCAGTCCACATTTTGAAAGAATGGATGCTCCTGAACATCAGCAAAGCCCCTGTGAGGATCACAACCCAGTCGTTCTTTTGGGTCCCTGTTCAGAAAATTCTCCAGGACACTTGCTGCTTTTACAGACAGACAAGGAGGTATGAAAATGTCTCTTTCCAAAATTACTTACAAGAGATTCTCGATTGAGACTCCATAAAGGTTATCTGAGCTCTCATCAAGATGGAATGGAGACTCTCCGATCATCATCATATACATTAGCACTCCAAGAGCCCACCAGTCCACACTGAAACTGTAATCTTCCTGTCTTATAATTTCTGGAGCCACGAAATGAGGAGTGTCACAGAAAGGGTGGGTCGTGTCTCCTGGCTGTAAGCCTTCCTTACACAAGCAATAATTGGTGAGTTTAATGTGCCCTTCTGAGTCCAGTAATACATTTTCCAATTTTAAATTTCTGTGAAGTATCCCTCGCTGATGAAGATAGTTGAATACTAAACAGATTTCTGCAGAGTAAAACCTGGCATGTTCTTTAGGAAGCGTTTTTTGTTGCTGCATATGAAACATCAGATCTCCACCATTTACATAGTCTACAACAAAGAACAGTCTGGTTTCTGTCTGGAAGCAAGAATACAGTTCAACAAGAAGAGGACAATTGGATGCCTGCTGTAAAACGCGCTTCTCTCTCTGTACCTGATCAATGTTGACACGCTCTTTTTTCACTGCTTTTATTGCATACATATGACCTGATTTTTTCAGTTGGACTAACAGTACTTTCCCATAACTTCCTCTGCCAATCACTCGGAGCAAATCAAAGTCCCCAAGACCTAAACCAGATGAAGCTTTGCCACCTTCCCTGGTGTTCCCTGCCTCATTCTCTTCATCTACTTGTTCTAAAGCCTCATGAGTTGAAAGGTTATGTGGGATCGCTGAGTGTCCAGGGTCTGACGCCATGGATGACGGATCGACTGGCACCATGGGCTCTGATGGTTAAAGAATGCTGCCCACATTCAACTGTGACAAGTTTGTGACACTTCTTGTGCACCGAGAGTTTACAGTTGGTGCACTTATACATCTGGCGGCCAAGTGCCCCTACACGGTCTGTGCAGACAGTACAGTGAGCTCGCCTGCTGAAGCATTTGGCCTGAAAAGTGTGGCCATTCACATAATACAGATTTCTCCAGCAGCCTGAAGCTCTGTGGTGGATGGATTTCTCTTCTCCCGGACAAGGCACTTTAGGATGTTCTGGTATACAAGGCGATGAATGAATTAAGAGCTCAGAATCTTTCTTTAGCTCAGAAAGCCTAATGGCCTCTTAACGCCAACTGAGGTGACACAGTATATGGGTCTCCTTCCTCCTCTACCCAGTGTGTGGTGGAAAGCTGTTTATTGCCCAAACACCACACATCTTGATCTTTATCACACAGGGCCTCAGAGGAAATGGAATTCTCAAGAGACCTTGTCATGATGTCACTTTCCAAAATCAGGGCCGATCGGGTAGAGGTGTGGGTGGTGGAGGTGCCCAGGAAGAAGGGACCATAGACAAGTTGGCTGCCCAGGGAAACAGGCAGGCAGAGCTCAGAGAATGAGAGTGACCTGACTGCCTGCAGGGAGCACACTGGCCAGAATTCTGCAAGGCTGTCTGTGAAGCTGCTTCCAATAGTGGCGGCCAGGCCTGGACGGATGTACACCAGGCTTCTCAGTGTCTCTCGGGGGCCGATGACTGTGACTTCAGTCTCCCCCACTGGACTTTGACTCTCTAGGTTTTTTGTGCCCAGCTCTGAGGAGACCTGCCCAGAGCTACTGGATGTTCCTGGGCGTGGTGATACTTGTCCCACGCTTTTCCCAGTTTCTGTGCCGTTGGTATTTGGGCTTAGGGAGACTTCACTGGAGTACCTTGGTTTTGGTAGATCACTGGTGCTCACTCCTGCGGAGACCGTCCCTGGGGTGTCTGTGACAG